ATGTGGGGGTGCATCCGGTCCGGAAGCAAGGGTCGGGGGCCCAGGGTAGAACCCATCAAATTGAAAAATAAATTTTAAATGCTTTGTTCTAAAAGAGAAAACCCCCATCTTTAAAAAGAAAGGAGAAGAAAAAAAAAATTTTTAAATTTTTAATTTAAAATAATGGGGTTTTTTAAACGGGGCCCAATTTTGGGCCTTTAAAAAATTAGCACCTTAGTAAAAATTTGGCCCGAAGGGCTTTTTTTCCGTCCAAAGCACCCAAGATATCGAAAAAACCTTTTAAAACTGATGGAGAATTTCCCGAAAAAAAAGAACCCTGTTTTTCTTTTTTAAATTCTAAAAAAACCCCCCTATAAAAAATTTTATAAAAAAAAATCCCTTCAAAAACTGTTTTAAAAACTGGGCACGAAAGTTGGCCCTGGAAACCCATAGTTTTGTTGGAAATCCCTATTTTTAAAAATTTTTCCGGGTTCCCCCCATGAAACCCCAGGGGGGGGGGCTTTCTAAAAAATTTCCCCCAAAAAAACTTTTTTTGCGTTTTTTTTCCCCATCAAAAGGGGTTTTCAAGGTTTTTGGCCAGCAACTTTTTTCTTTTGATTGGGAAAAAGTCTAGTTTTGGGCGCGTAGGGGGTTTAAATCGACCTGATCCCTTTTACCCCCCCCCCCACAAGTTAAAAATTTTTCTCGACTAAAAAAGGGGCTATTTGTCCCCTTAAAAACCCCCAAAAAAGAAGGGGGCCCCCTTGGGGTTCCCCCCGATGTCCCTTTTAAAATGGGGGGGGGGGGGTTGGGGGGCCCCCTAAAAGGTTCAACTGTTTTTAAACCCAATTTCTAAAAATTTTTCAAAAATTTTCCCCTAAAAAAGCGCATTTTTTACCCCTTTTTTGAGGGCCTAAAGGTGGGGGGGTGTAAAGCTTAAAAAATATGAAAAACCCAAAAAAAGGGAAAAGGGAAAAAGGAGGGCTTAAAATGAACGAAACCCCCCGTACCCAGAAAAACACGAAAAAAGGGGCCCAAAGGACCCAGGCGGCCAAAAAAAACAGGACGCCACAAGACCCCCCTTTTTAAACACCCTTTATGGGTTTAATAAGGAACAAAAACCTTTTTTTATTGCATCTGCGGGCCCCTTTTTTAAAATTTTTTATCAAAATCCTATTTTTTTCGTTTTTTGAATTTGACCCGCTCGGCATTTCATACGGAAACCCCTCATTGTTTAAGACGGAACCCTTTTTTCGTGCAAAGGGTTCTGCCGTTCCCTAGAGTGCGGGCCCAAATGACCAAAAGTTAAAATTTATAGGGATTTTTGGCTTAAAAGGAAGTCGGTTTGAAAATATATATTGGCACATTTGGCTCAAAAACCATCGTTAAAAAAAAATTGAAATATTGAAAATTTTGGAGGCGGGATTTAATCCCCTTTTGGGATCCCTTTTTTTTCATTTTAAAGAAATTTTTGGGCAATACATGTAATTTTTAAAAAATTTTTTGGGAAAAGGTTGACCCTTTCGATAGAAACGAGAATTTTTTAAACATAGAAAATTGCTCAGTTCGTTCGACTGAGATTTTTCATGAGCAGGAATGAAAATCTGGATTATTCGCAGATGCATATTCTGTACATATAGTGTAAATAAGTATACACAATAAGAAGTATTTAAAATTAAATGTGGTAGATACTCTATGTTTACTACTTGTATTTACTCTATATTGATAACCAATGTAAATTAATTAAACGTTTTACTAAAAGGGGTTATGACCCTACTATTTTAAGACATACCGCATGCTTAGTGTGTTGGACGCTACTCGTTACATAAAAGGCAATACTCGTGACACCGGCGGGCAACTACAACGCAATACTCGGTACACTGACATGTTTATTTATTCTCAAAATGCACTGTCATCTAGCGTTCTATTGTTGAACACTTACATCATACAAATTATCATCATAATCACATTTCACTCGATTCAAGTTTTTCTTTTAAGGAAGTATATGCACAAAAACATCAAATTTGATTGATCCGAGCTCATTTATCACGTGAGCAAAGAGACGAATTTTACCTCCTTATTACATTTCAAGCTATTTCTCGACATTTTTGGGGTTTCAGCAACTAGGGAAATTATCGAAGTATTTTGTTTTTCTATAAAATTTATATCAAACCAATTGCAAATGACTAAATATCGTCACTGAACTTACCTCCTTCCTCGTTCAAAGCCGCGAAATGGGATGAAAGTCCTCATAATATCGAGCAATATCCGGGGTACGGTATACCGCAGTGAGACCGAAATACCGCATCCGTTCTGTGTATTCATACTATTTGTTCGAGGTCCTTTTCCGAAGACTGACGGAAAGGGCCGAGTAGTTGCGATTGAAATCACTGTTGACGTTCTATATTAAGATATGTGACGTAATCATTATACATGTGACATAACCACTAAAAAATCCGCTAAAATTAAATATGGAAACAAATCCGTGGCAATTTTGCTTAATATCAGGTACGGCAGCATTTATCTGTTGATGTCGTGTTAGAATCGAAATAATACATGTAATATATCCAAATCGATGATTTTATCGCTTGGCAACATCACTGTTTGTGTCGTTCGGATGTGCATCATTATATAATTCCTCGCATCCGAACTCCAAACAGAGATGTTATTGAGCGATAAAATCACTCTTTGGGATATATTATTTCCTAAATAACCAATGATATCCGTTCTGTAATATACATGTAGTGAACGTCATGATTATACAGTTAAACTTGTGTTAAAGACCGCCTTTGAATAACTATCGCCCTGTAAATAAAGACCATTTTTCATCAACCGCTCATTGATTTAATAGAATCCCCTTATGAAGACCACTTGTATATAATGGTCATATTTGGTCTCTCCTTGGTTCATATGTTTGCCTGTATATTATTGAGTATTTCCAGAATCCAATAACGTAAATATTCTTACACTTCTTTTACCAGATGTGACAAACAAGTATGATTTCCAAAAACCCATTTCCTGTAGAGTTTGTTTGCGAGTCTATACTATTCTGAAACTTACAGCTTTTATTCCCACTATTTTCTAACATCACAATCAGTATTTAATAATTCCGACCAAAATATTGGTTTTCAATGTTATTTCTGTTTGAATAATAATAATAATAATAATAATAATAATAATAATAATAATAATGAAGATGATGATGATGATGATATAATTATATTAATAAGAATGATGATGATGATGATGATGATGATAATAATAAAAATATATTTCTACAGAGAGAGTGGAACTTGGGCGATTATTAGTTCTAATGCGAAGTCGTCTACTGTAACAGAAGATGTGCAAGGTGTAGTTGAAAGTTTTTCGAAGATCGTGTTTACAATAAAGATGAGCCGTAAACCTGGCAATTACATCTTTACAACACTGTTCCCAATTATTCTATCATCCTTCCTCATGACTGTTACTAACTTGATACCACTGAAGGTAAGTTTATTTCCATAATCAGTTGTTTTGCAGAAACTGTAAATATAAACAATACCATTTATTTACATTTTTTATTTACAAAACTGTGTAATATAGTGTAGTTTTATCCGAAGGTACCGTAGAACCTGAAAAACAATGCACAGCATTAAAACTGCATTCTGATGGTGATTTAACATGATTTATACTGGTAAATGTTGTCCTGCCTACTCTCCAAGCATCGACTTGGAAAAACAAGTAATCTGGTTGTGCTAGAGACACATGAACTCTTAGTAAATCATGCTACTGTTGCACTTTTTCATTACCTCTCATGTACAGCTCAGTCAAACCGAGTCTGCAATTTTCATGCAATTTTGTTGAGATTTATGCTTCTGGGGGATCACACTTTGTCCAATTTTTTATACTTCATAACAGCTGGTGTCAAGTGCTGTAAAAAGTTGCATTGTTCTTCATCTCAGTGTTGTTATCTTTTATTTTTCTCTTCCTTCGGCATCATTGATTCCGACACATTAAAGTGTTGTACAGCTCAAGCCGATGTTAGGGGGATAAGGGATGTTGCACTTTTAATTATCTCTCATGTACAGACTCAATCAAACCGACAAACCGAGTCTGCAATGTTCATGTAATTTTGTTGTGATAAATGCTTCCGAGCGATCACACTTTATCCAAATTTTAAAATATACCCCTCTTCTACCATGTGGCAAGTGCAAGAGCAGGTGGCACAATCAGTTACTACATATTTTGAAATGTTACCCAAATATGGCGAATGGTTTTGTCCAGATTGAAAGATGGACAAGTTCATTCAACCTAATAACACTTTTGCCAGCATTTTTATGGTGACCCCGCCCGGCAGCAATAGATAATTGAGGTTATTTGGCACAAGGCAGTTGTATTTCAACTTCATAAAAACGTTATTTGGTGGTGTGTGACATAGTCGCGTGTTCTAGAGCACGTGATTACGGGATGATACGTCATGTAAAGCGAGTCGTGTAATATGAACGCTACGTAATTAAAAAAGTAAGTGATCCAGTAAATTGCGTAATTTAATCTCTTTCCCTTCGTTGAAAAACTTTCCGAAAAACATTACATTTTGGCGGAACAGCACGGACACTCACTTTAAAATGGACATAACTGTGTCAAAAATTCATAATTGACCTCTATCTAATACGTGACATTGTATATAATGCCATGTATATGTCTCAGAATTGGACCATATCAAAATTTGCAACAAATTTGCAACAAAAATATGTCTGCCAAAATATGATACCTTGACGATTACGTTTTATTACGCTATAATTGTTAGAAGGTTATGGCAACCTTTTATGTTTTATAGTAGGCAAAATACTCTAATACCATTTGCTGTTGAATCATTTCAGACTGGAGAAAGGGTCGTGTCAGGATTTCTCGTTCTGGTCATTAACTCGATTCTTCTCACCATTTTCATACAGCAGATTCCAAACATAGCAACAACAACTGCTATCCTTGGTAATATTTTTTCATTAGTTTAATTTTTATTAAAATAAATCTGTTTTGCCTCTTATTTCATGGCCGAATATTTTTGGGTTTCAGGCCTTTCAGTTCAGCAAACTAAAGTCGTTATAGTATGATTAGAATAATAGTAAATGTCAAAGATACTTAATAGATAACAACATAATGTCATTTTCTATGTATTGGCCAATTATTTTTTCTATTGATTTTTTAGAAACCATCCTTTCAGTTTTCTACATTGGATATAAAATGTTCAAATATCAACTTTCATAGTTAAGCAACTTTGATTGAATATTTTGTGGTGGTGAGGGGGAGTAATTATTGTATTATTATGTATCTGCGAGTTAAATTAATAAGTAAAGACATTGACATACTGAAAAATATTCCGTTTAATTTCAGGTATATATTTGATTGGAAATTTATGCATCGACTTCTTCCGCATGTTTATAACAGTAGCAATGGCCAAAATGCATCATAAGTCAGAGAAGTACACGGCTGTTGGCGAGAAAGTAACTAAAATAGCACTGATTGTGAAACGAGTGATGTGTTTTAAAGGTACATTTGTTATATATGCTTTAATGGGAAGAGTAATATTTGATTAAAGGCGAGAGAATTTGATTGCAAATTAATGCAGCAATCTGTTTCGTCTTTGAATGATGTATAAAAATTTAATTTGGTAGCGATTTGTCTGATAGAAATTGCAGATTGTTTAAGTGATATATAATTTGCAAAAAAAAAGGAGAAAAAGAGTCCCTGAAGAAAGTCCAAAACAGGAAAATTTAAAATATTGCAGGCTCGGTTTGATTGAGCCTACTCATGGACAGTACTTAAAAATGCAAACTGATGTCCACGCCCCAACGTCTATCTAATGAATAAATTTATACATTACTTAAACTTTTGAATATATTTTGTTTCCCTTTGCTGTTTAAAGAATTTTACTTCACAACTAAGGGGATACATTTGTCATGAGTTTCTTGAAAATACAATGGAAATGATTTTTAATGTTATGTTTATGACTACATTTGCATTTAAGTAAAACTTTATAAACTCTATATCGCAGATAAGCCTGTTGAGTCGGACAGACTGTCTTTGTTAAGCATACCAACGGACGATCTCAAGAAGATCTCAAAGACACTCTCCCCAAAGAAAAATATGGTGGCGCCAGATGATGCTGTGAGTTATACTGATTTCTTTGATGTATTCAATTCACATTATTATTATACGTATATCAACTTTTTGAATTACTTCATTCCATAGTATAAAAATCCATGGTTTAAGTTAGTTGTTGGTTTGTTTTCCTAGATTTTACGCCGATTAAAATTGTTGCATGCTTTTGGACATATGTCGGTGGTCAAATCTCAAACTTATAGGGTTGCCTGGAATGTTGAGCGGTAATGACAGAATTCTCCGCAAGTGACCGATCGGATGAGAGACTAATGACTATTAGATACAATGGTTGAGATCAATTGACACAGAGAAATTTCTTCGTGCAGGAAGATCGAACAAGCGGCCCTATTACAAATCCGATGTCCTCTCTATTTAACTTAGCAGGCGAAGCGGTTTGTGCCGTGAATATAACGACCTGTTTAATTATTATTCAATATAGTTCACACCCGTCAGCATTCTTATAAATTATGTCTTTGTTAAATTCATGCTTGTTATGCAAAGTTAAACATAATTAAGTATGCAAACTCATCACACATATTCTTGATATCCATAACAATCCAAAACACCATTCTTAAGCTTACAAAATGATTCTCACATATATTTTTTTCTATTGCAGAACACAAACTTTACAGAAACTGTTAAGGTGAAGGAATCCGCTTTGCCCGTTCTAAGTTCAAGATACGAAGTGGATCTACGAACTGTTAGAGCCCGGCAAGTTGAGAAAATGGAAGAAAAGATGGTAGACGATAACTATTTAACCAACAATTTTGACGACACTAAACTTACTTGGGATGCAGTAGCAACAATATTTGATCGACTTTGGTTTATAATGTTTCTAATAACGAAAATTATGTTCAACGCTGTTTTGATTGGTAATTTGTTTTATGAGACACAATGAGATAAAAGCGGACAGATATAATCGTTTGAAGTGCTTGCTCGCATATGATTAGCAGACCTTGATGTCGGTTTTCCAACACAACTTTTTCACTCAGAAGTGTTTTGCCTTTCCAATAAAAATATAATTTATCGACATTTACATGTAACCAGCGATAGCAATTGCATTTATAAATTATATCCGGATTAAACGGTATTTTAAACTTTGAATAAGTAAATGATCAACAATAAAACATCAAATTTGAGCATAAAGGTGTTATATAAGACATTAAAGGCATCAGACCCGTTACAAAATCTAGCAAAAAGGCGGCTATTAAATTTAGAACCTATAATGTCCGCGCAGCACTATCCAAACCATCTAAAAAAATACAAAATTTATAAAAGATAGATTTCTTCAAATCGAACTTTTACCTAGTTTCTTAAAGTCAACAAATGGATATATTGAAAAATTCAGATGTTTTATGAAAGTGCAATGCAACAGCTCTTACACCGATGTGTTTTGTCTAAATGCAGTACTGTTCCCGTTTAGGTGGAGACAAGCATAATTTAATGTAACCCTGGTTCCATGATATTAAATCTCGGTAAACTACAGACAAATGCACAGTACATAATTTTTTGTACAGAAATATGAAAACATTGTCTTTCCGTTTGATTAATATGTAAATGAAAATATTTTGCAACAAAGCTAGGTATTTAAAATTTGATCGCGAAGTGAAAAGCTATTGTATGTGATTGTGTTTGTATTGATGGCTCGCAAAATAAATCGTGTTATTCCGCAGAAAATAATACGTCTATTCATAAATCACGTACGACTTGGCTGCTTCGCACCCGAATAATGTTTCTTTTAAGGTCAATTTTTAAAACTTTAATCTTACGTTTAAATCGGGTAAACATCATTTTATAGAAAATACATTTAAAAAGAATGGCGCGAATTAAGATGAAAAAAGAAAATGGAGAAGGGCAAACAAATAAAATTATAAATGTTTATGGAAATTTCTTGACATGTGAAAAATATATACAAAAATAAGTATAGCAAATATTTATTTATATGTAAACAAGCATGTTTTTCAATATCACTTCAGATATCACTTCGGTATAAAGATATTAGGATTTGCTTATTTGAAAATGTTATTAATATTAACATAGAAATTGTATTTGTCTTATTATCTTTCAGCAACAAATTGTTGACATATAAACAAAAAATGAAATTCGTCGCCTACATCATCATTATACAAAGTATATATTTTATCTTATTTATTGATATGTATCTGTGTGTAAGAAACACATTGACAAAGTTGTTACAAAACATGTGTTATATGAGAACACTTGTTTTGTCTTTTGTGGATGATTCTTTCAATTAATAAAGTCTCTGTCAACAATAACTAAATTTTAAATCGTAAAACGTCAATAGATTAGTCTCTGAAATGGAGTGCTTGTGTCTTAATCATATTTGCAGAGATTTAGATGTTTTAATAAGGCAAATGTGAAACAGCAAATGAACAATGTTTCAAAATCTAACGATTCTGATTATTTGCAAACATTGAAAGTTTATGAAATAGATGAATTGCCACTAGTGACGAAGGTGACCTTAATCCCTGATGTTTTACAGAGTGCCAGGGCAAAATCAACTAAAGGGTTTCGATAGATAGAAGAGTTGGGCTACCGTATATTTATTGAAGTAAGACATCTTGCCAGCGAAGCCGTTACATTATGTTTGATATCGTTGTTCTTTAATTCAGTCGGCTAATTCAGAAAGTTCAATTAGTAAAATATTTCATAGTGTGAAATTTACCAACAGATTCTTCGTTAATAAAAAAACATTTTTGAAGCACCAAGAAGGAAATTGCCAAAATCTGTTGTGAAGAAAGAACCCAATTACAGTAAATATTTTGCGTAAATGTATGGTTATCTTTTTCAGAAATGTGGTATCAAAAACAAAGAATTATTTGCGCATTTTTATTAGCATAATGCTGGATTTATGAGAAGTAGTGAATTGTTAAATAGTAGGTGTTCTATTGTATTTTATGACAGTTTTGTGAGCATTTTGATAGACCCCAGTAAGACTGATCAAATAAAGAGAGATGGTGTCATTGGCTTGTTACTAGCTCACGAAAACAGAGCAACACGATTCATATAGGCTAAAGAAAAATGACGATTATGATCTGTTTTATTTTAAAACTAAAAAATATATTTTTAAGGAATGTGATAAAGACATCTCAGTAATTTAAACTGGTAGTATTCATAAAAGTCTTTTAAAAAACTCATGTTAAAAGTGTTAAATGTATGGTGTTACATTTGTGTTGTATGCAAATCTGCTTATTGTGACTTATTTGTGTGGTGTGATATTAAGGTCTCGTATTTTAATAGTGTGACGATACCATATGTTCTCATTGTAGTACTTTCTGAGGCTTGTTTCTTGTCTACGAGCGCCGGGTGGTATGTATAATACTATAGACAGATCGTCCGTATTGAAATGCATTCGAATGCAGGATATCAATTACCCAAACTCCGAATGCCGAAAGAATAAGATCATTCAAGTCAAAGAACTTCAACCCAAACTCAATTATTATATTTTACCTTTCGTTATTCAAGACAATGAATGTAGTATTGTCAAGTACTATTATTTCTAATGTAACTGAACTTATCTATTACGAAAAAAAAAAGAAATGAATAAAGTTGAATTCTTGCAAAACTTCTCTGGTCCTCAATAATGGTTCACCCACGTTTTCCCAAAAATGCAACGTAACAAGTCTAAGATCGGAACATCGGGCTAAAATCTGGCACTTTCTCGTGTATGGTACCCGTTTTGTCCCACTACACATTAAATACCTGGAAAATTTCTATATCCACTCTCACGTATTTTTAACATGTGGCTCTCTCAACTTGATATATTTTAGGGCGAACTTATAGGATACTATAATAAATGATAAAATTTATAGTGTAATACTTGCTTGGTATTATAGTTCTTGAACAGTTAAGGTCAAGACGCAACAAACCCCTTTCAGATAATGCGCTCGAATTTCCTTATTTGAAAGCACTGTAAGAACTTCACAGTGTTGTTACAAAAATGTAATCTGCACCAGTACCACGGGGGAGGAACTGTTACAAGGAAAAGGAGTTCTTATGATAACTTGTCAGGAGTTCTTGTGATAACTGTCACTTAGTTTGTCGGAAAGCTTTTGTATCTACTCATAAATGATTATTTTCATTTTTAAAAATCGAGTTTTAGGTATAATTACAATAATTCAAAATTGCAAACATAAAGCCCTCGCTAACAAATTTATACCCGATATTACAAATGTCCTGGAGTTCTTGTGAAAACTCTAAAGATATCCGAGAGTTCTAATGCTAACTTTTGTTACTGCCAGTGTGTTTCTTGCGATAAATCACGGCACGTTTTAGCGTTTTTTTAATATTCAATTAGGTTGTAAATTATTATGAAATGTAGTACGCTCATCCTTTGCACAAAAAAGAGGATATATAATGTTGGTTTTGAGTATATTTTTGTTCAATAGATATTATTTCTTACCCCGTTTCTTGTGCAATGTTTAATTTTATAGTATTTTTGCTGACGCAGATTTTGGAAAAAGGATTGATATAGAGGATTGACTTACGTGATAAGATGCGCATTGAAATCAATACTCAAGCATAGTTTCTCCGTGTACACATTATAAAGGACTTTTTGTTACAATGGCACAAAGATCTGGAATAGGAAACCATCTTTTACGTTCTTCTAATTCTCTCAAGACCAACATTATATCTACTTTTTGTGCAAAGGATGAGCGTAGTTGCACCGTGTGTGTGTGGTATTTTGTTGTTGTTTTTTGTTGTTGTGTTTTTATGTTGTGTTGTTTTTTCTTTCATTGTTGCCTTTGATGAAGTATGGTTGCATTTAAAGTATAGCATTGCTTCAGTGACTTAGTTATGAAACTCGTTTTCCGACAATTTCCATGGATAGAAATTTATTTTTAAAAACCAATCCAGCACTCCCACCGCTTATTCTAACATGTCTCGTCCCAGAACGTCATTTTTCAAAGGTGTTCAGCCCCATTAAGAGCTTTTTCATCTTTCACATTTTGTCATGTATTTTTGTCATGCTCTTTCGTACAAGATACTTCATTTATTCACTAAATAACTATGCATACACAATAACAATATACTTCTAAGTTAACCATGTATTAACATGTATATACATTTAGTGTTAGATAGTGGCACCTTGTGCGCATAATAAATCAGGGATTAAACCAATAACGTTTTTCGAGTTTAACAATGAAACTGTGAAACAAAAAGCTTAATCTATACATATATGCAAAAACAAGATATGTTTGTAAAACATGTATGTTCCCTATCAGCAGCCAATTAGTCATGTGGTTAAGATTATTGTGACTGACTTTTGACCTTGTGACCAAAATCAGTAGGGGTTATCTACTAGCCATGACTACATGTAGTCACTCTGTAACGGTTGTGTGCAGCAATTTATTGAGAAAGTTATCACAAGTATTTTCAAATAATATACCGGGTAAGTATTTATTTCTGCGGGCTTTATACTAATAATATTCTGCGATTTTAGTTAAAATAAGGGGTTTTAAATTTCTGTGTATCTTATTTATCCGGTGTCATACTTCTGGAATTGAAGCGTTTTAATTCTACGTTTTAAAGTTATTAGTACATTTTTAACCAATAAAAACAGAAAAATTATAATATTATGCATGCATTTATGAATCATGTAGGCCTCCTTAATGATGGCCAATTTGTTATATTACATAAGACATTGAAATTATAATACCAAAAGCATTTTTAGTTTAATAAAAAATATCAACCAAGGCAACTTGAGGCATAGAATTTATAACAACAATCATCACCTGGACATTTTAATAGTCATAAGGTTTAACAACTTATTAAGTACAGACGGCTAAATTGACATTATCAACTAAATATAATAAAACTTTTAGCATCATTGATTGGACAAGGAGGAAAAGCCACATTTAATCTTCCGGTTACATAATTATTAATTTGACATGTGTTATTAAAACATATAATATCTGTAACTTAACATATTTGTAATTTCAAACATTGTTTTGAAAATATGACCTTTTAGAAAATGATTATATTTATAAATATTTGTGTTTAAAAGAAAATCATCATGCATATTTATTCATTTTTGTAAGAGAATTTTATCATTTTTCGGCTGCACAACAATATAATCGAATTTTGTTCTTCTATCAAAAATAACACAAAGAATTCTTAAGAAATACATGCGTTTTCATTGGATGACAAATAAAACTGGACACAAATAAACGTCCAACTTTATTTGTCATCCGATGGAAACGCTGTATTTCTTCAAAATTATGTGTGTTTATTTTCATAGAAGAACAAAAGTCGATACTATATCAAATTTCGTTCATAGTCGTCCTCTATTTGTCACAGTGCTTCATACATTATAACCGCGTTTGTACAAATAGTCATTTGCATGAAGTTCCTCGGCCGCTTTTGAATATAAATTAAGTAAAAATGACGTCAAAGGGCCAACCTATATTATTTTTTTTATTTATGGATAAAGGATATACATGCAGTTCAGATTTAAATTCACGTCTTAGCGATAAAGATACTGCACGTGTTAAAGTAAACACCAAGACAAAATTATTGTTGCTTAAAAAGGCTTTGTAAACTATATAATCGAGGGAGAAAACATAACAGTCATATATAAAAGTAGTCCCTAACCAGTGTTTATTGGCAGTTTAGCACCGGGTTTTTCCTTCTTTGTGTATAATGACAAAATCACGAAGAGTGTTAAAATTCATGTTTAATGTTAATTTATATACGTTGATATATATATACTTTATTTGCTTTTAAAGTGTGAGTTGAGCTTTTAAAGTGTGAGTATGTTGTTTTTGTTTTTAGTTGTTGTTTTTTTCAACACCTTTGATTTTTAATCCAAAATTGTTATGAACATGACTTTAATTACTAATCAAAGGTTAATATTTTAGTTGTCTTTAAAACAAGAAATTTAAAATTAAAGAAAAAAGGAATGTTGTATGGTTAACAATGTTGCAACTAGAATTGCGAAAAATTGTCTTCCACAGTATGATACTATGTACAACATAAAACATCGTTTAAATAAATATTGTCAAATTGTAATTTTGTAGAGGTTTCATAACATGGGTGTCTTTAGCAGATGACGGGATATAATATACTTGTATACTTTTTTCTCAACAAAGCATTTTGTATACTCAAAAAGACAAAATTCACTCCTTGTTTTTGAGATTGGATTCAATAAACACACTTCAAACGAAATACCGTTAAGTGTTATATATATTTTTTACAAACTTTGTCTTTGAAATTAAACCTTCAAAAAGATAATTTATTTATCAAAGGTTCAGTTGTTGAAATGTCGCAGAACCAATGTTTCTTGACACACTATCATTCTTTTGTTAAAACAGTTATATTTGTCCACGAAAAATAATTGGATAAAATGAAATTTCATTTAATTATTTCGATACTAATCTCGACTTTCTTTGTTGTACAGATAATATCGTCGACTATAGTTCAGTGGAAGAAATACGACTTCATACGTCAACCACTTATCTGCAAGTCCAGCCAGATTCTTTTCTCAGTTACAGTTCATGATCCGAATGAATGCCGCAAGATTTGTTTCAAGCAACACAGCTGCATCGTTAGCTCATTCAAACCGGACAGTGATGAATGTATTGGATGCCAGGAGTTTAGGGGTTGGTATATTGAGATGGACCATGCAATAAATTATGCCATCAGACCATACAAAGGTGTAGGTAGGTGAAGTTTGGTTAAATAGAATAAACTGCTTTTTTGAATAGCTTTGTTTATCAATTAAGTCTTTTAAAAAATATCTCTTGTATCTTTTCTGATTAATGCTAAATTTTTATAACCGGTACATAAAACGGCCATGCAATGCGGAAATCGCCCGGATATATTGTTTCGGATAGGGTTTTGGTCCTCATATTGTTCACAGAAGACCCTTCGAGCGTGTACAAAATCAAATCTGCAACGGAATCAAAGAAATGATGTTTAATCGGTAGACTCGAGAATATGTGTTTTTTACGAAAATCTATACACTTGATATTCAGAAAAAATAGCCTAAACGAAAAACGACAAAATAATGCGGAAATTTCTCGGACATATTGTTCGGGATAAGGTTTTGATCGTCATATTGAGCAAGGAAGATCCTCCAAACGTGTATAAAAACGAGTTCGAATCAGACAAATTGTCTTTTAACGGATATGGTGCTTTTTTTTAAAGATTTATAAACTTTATATAAAGAAAGAACAAATAGCCCATACAATAACAGACAATGCTAATCGGACATTTTGTTTGGGTTAGTTGGGTTAGGGCTTTGATCCTCCTATTGTTTGATGAAAATCATCCAAACTAGAACAAAACCGAATCTACATATAAATCAGTCAAATGGTGTGGCGTGAGAATATGACGTTGTTTTAGAACATTTATACACTTTATATACGGAAATAATCAGTTAAATCTATTTTTAATTGTTGGCTCTAGAAATTGATGTTTCTTACAAAAAATGTCTACACTTTGCATACTGAAGGAAAATAAAGCATGTACGGAAAACAACAATACCACGCGGACATTTCCAGGATACAGTGCATGTTGTTTGGGATAGCTAGGGTGTCAGTACTTTGTGCAGAGAAGACCTTCCAAATAAATACCGAAACGAGCCCTCCATGAAATCAGACAAATGGTTGTTAACGCTTGGCTCGAGAATATCTTTTTAATTTAAAGTGACATTATGCTCATATTTTTATAGTCAAGTTGAGCTGAATTGACTTTATATTTCAAAGATTGACTGTCAAAATGGTGTTTGACCAACAGTTGATATTGGAAAACGTTCAGGATAAAATTATAAATCTGCCTAAAATATAAAAAGACTGCCCCACTCTTTTTATAAACTGAGTGTTAGAGGTAAATACTAATAGATATCTACAGAAATTTTATTTGGATCTGTGCATTATTTATTGTTTATGGGAAGTAAATTATTAAATTAAAAGGAATTATGGCAAAATGTAACTTATTTTGATATTCACCGGTTCACTCACTATATACCCTTGGATGGGCATAATGTCACTTTAAGAAAATAAATGCACTTTATATACAGACAGAACAGCCAGAGCGAAAAAAAAACACTAAGCAATTGGAAAATCTTCAGGACATTATGTTTGCGTTAGGACTTTGGTCATCATATTGTGTAAGAAAGATTCCCCAAACTAGTACTAAATCGAATCTGTAAGTGAATCAGACAAATGAGGGTTTAACTGTTAGCTTGAGAATATTGTCTTTACGATAACGATATATACGACAAATCGCCGATCCAAACTAACGAACCTGCCACGCGGAAATCTCCCGGATATATTGCTTTCTGTAATACTTTGGTCCTCATGTTGGGCAAAGAAGACCCTCAAAACGTGTACAAAATCGAATCCGCAACGGAACCAGACAAATAGTAAATCTAACGATTTGCTCACAAATATTGTGTTACAAAACAACCAAGCCTGGCTTGCTGGATACTCTCGTATATTTCACTTTGATTAGGGCTTTGGGCCTTAAATAATGTAAAGTATAGCCTAAAATCTAATGCAAAACGAATTTGTTACAGAATCAGACAAATGAGATTGTTTTTATGAAATTTCTTTAACTTATTCACATTAAATAGATCCAAAAATCGATCATTTCACACGTGCTTCTTACAATCATTTTCCTTGCGTTAGTTCTGTGAGCCTTATTCTGTGAGCCTTCTTTGCACTTCATTAGTGCACTTTGAAGTGCACTAGGCCCATAAAATGTATTTAGCAGTTTCCTTTTATTTCAATAAATAACAATTAGATTTTTACAAAAAATAAGTATATCTGTATAATAGTTTTTAATTATAAATTTGAAGTTGTAAATATTGGATTTTGTAAAATATAGTTTTAAATATTAGAACAATATTTTTTTAATTTCATGAATTTTACTGATTTGGTACTTTAATACTTAATTGTTATAATAAGTTAATATAAATAGTTATAAAAAGTTAAAACTTTAATGTTGATAAGTGCATAAATAAACAAAATATATTGATATTTAATATGATTCTATTCTTTAATAATCTGGTAATGAAATATAAAACTGTGAAATACTAATTCGACAAAATTCAGTCATTTTTGGGGTCATATTATACCAATTAGTTGTTTTTGATCTTAACGTATTGTTCGTTTAGTTAAAGGTAATGATTTGAGCCATGAATAGTTTTTAATAAATCAAAGAATTAATATGCTTAATTGGCCTAAATTTGTCAATTTTTTCTCATAACTTCTCTTACCCTATCAAACTGAAATAAATAAATAATATATTTCATTCTGAAAATAAATATTTATATATAATGGTGGTATGTATGAAATGTGGATTTAGTATTGATAAGTGTTGAAAAATAGCCTGTGGGGCACTAGAATACTTATACTTAAACGTTTGAGTAGCCATCAGTATTTTATCTTCTTTTATTGTAGCGTATACAATATGATTATTTTATGACTTTATAAAAAATGCAAAAATATTTCATTTTTCTTTTTTCTTTTTGTTCTACTTGAAATGAAATTTATTGCACCAACATCAAAGGAATACGGAATTTGCATTGTCTACTTATATTCTGCCATATATTATATACCCTTGGAGCCCTCTTCAGCAGGGTACTAAATAAAAACACTACTACAAAGCATGAATGACTTTTGACACTTTAATCTTCTGTAAATGTTTTCTACTCATGTATAATATTTTATTTAAAACAATCAAACAAAAACCAAACAGATTTGCATAATAGTGAAAAACAAGTTGCCAAAGGTTTATAATCATTTATTATATATATATTATCTTCTGAATGTGTTAAAACTGACGAGGTAAATTTGTTAAATCTATAATAGAATAAATAGATATTTCCCAGTTCAGAAATTATAAGATGTTGCAAATTTTAATGCAGAATGACAAGAAATGTGAATAAATATTGCTATGAATTCTTCCTAGAATAGTTAACACTGATATGGATTTTAAATCAGTTTTTAATAAACAAATTGGGCAATTCCACTTCAGAGACAATATTATCTAATATGCATTTATGCCATTATGATTATTATTTTATATTTGATTATACAAAAATTATGTTCATTTATGTCTGTGTAACATGTATTTTGAAAAAAAAACAGGGAATTTCAAATAAATATTGCATACTTATAATCTGCAATTACCCTGAGGCCGTCTTATCAGCAATAGACCGGTATAATGAAAACAGGCGCTCTAAGAGAAATAGCATTATATGTTTAATATTGAAATCGTGAATAAAGTTATCAAATTTATTTATTTCATAGAAATAAAATAATTATTTATAATATATCTTTCAAAGATTTGCAAGCATTTTACGGTTGAATACTAAATTATCACAGTATATGGATTGTTTTAGAATCAATGTATTAATATTCTCTTTCAATATTAATTGAACATGAGGAATTGCCTCCGAGTTATATAATTTTATTATAGAAATAATATTTTAACTTAAGAATAAATCTTTCCTTGATTTGTTTGAGCTTAATGAAAAAGGTTGTTCACGTTATTTAAAACTAAATCAATTGGGACATAATTATCACATTGATTTGCTCATTTGTACACTAGAAAAATTAAAATTATTTATCAATATTTCTTAATATTTCATTTATAAGTATAAAAAGAATTTCATTATATCTCACAAAAGGACAAAATGTGCCGAAGTATGTGCTATTCAAATATTTGCATTTTTGTTTCATCTCTCTCGAGGTATTTTCAAACTGATCATATTTAAAGCGTTTCAAGCTATGACTGACTGTAAATATCAAAATATTTCATTCAAAACGTTCACCAATACATTTTGATTATATAAATATGCAAACAGAATTAAATATTCCGAAACAAAATAATCAGTTGCCATAACGAGAAGGTTTTCACACTCGGACCGAGATTTACAAATATTGGTATGATTTCCGTAAATATGCAAATAGATACTTTTTTCTCTAGTAATTACAGATAAACTGATATAGCTTTATATGCTTACACAAATTCATAAATAGTCTGTGTTGATAAACAATAACACATCAAAATGAAAAACTCCACAATTCAAAAAGTTATAAATCTGTTAAGGGGAATATGCATGCCAATTATTTGTCAATATTTATTGCTTAATGAATTATTGTTAACTCGGTGAATTCATTGGGAGCTAGGTTATATTTTATTTATTGTTATATCATTATTGCTTAGTGAGCGACTGTAAAGAAATTCTTGATGTATACCCGGAAGCAGAAAGTGGCTTTTATGAGATAGAACTATGGGAGTCTAAGAAGAAACTTATTGTGAATTGTGACATGAAAACTGACGGTGGCGGCTGGACGGTATGTAAAGTATTAAACTAATGTAAACTTTGTTCAGCGAATATCGTTAAAACATAGTTAGTTCCTTCCTTGCCGCATGCTTGAAAGTTTTAAATTCATATGCTACGAAGAACTGTGCTAAATGAAAACATTAATTAACATAGTTTGTTTTTGAATATCATTAATTTGTAATATGCAAGAGTCAAACGTCGGCTATCGTTACAAACAGGCATGTCGAGCTCACGGGTTACATTTTAGCGCATCGTTACGGCCGTAGCTTGTTATTTAGGTCCAGTATCGGCAGCCGGTTTAGGATCCTTATAATCTGTTTAAAAGTTTATTTCTTAAATATGAACAGTCCATCAAGCTTGATATCAACAAGTTCAATAGTTCTATGCAACACCCCGTTTCCGTCTGGTATGGTATTAGATAAAACTGGGAGTTGTTTAGTGACTTTATACTACGTTAGTTTGAATTAACTTAAAGTTCACTTATCTATTTTAACTATACTTTGCTTATATCGTTTCACTCCTTGTAGATATTTCATAGGCGCTTTGACGGGTCTATTGACTTTTATCAAAACTTCACGGAGTATGAAAATGGGTTTGGAAACGCAGGAGGAGAACTCTGGCTAGGTTTAATTTATGATTCACTTTAATATTTATACTTTAGATAAGTGTGATAATTTGCTAAACTGAACGACATCTGTTATAATAATGTATATGAAATTTTATTTATTGTACGCGGGCATTTGTACTTTTAAACGTACTGTGACAAGCAATGCCAAAACAGAAAGAGAAAGAAAGAAATACAAAGAAAAGAACAAAAAAAAATTCTTCCAATAGATTTTTAGGTTCGCAGGCAAGAATGTCTAGATAAAAGGTGGCTTTGTGTATGCGGGATGTCATACCCCGCCCGTAAATAAGCATATACGGAATGGTGATGTATTGTCCGATGATATTTATAGTTTAAATAAGTGTATAACAATGATTGTTTAACCGTTTTCGCACGCCACAATATCATTGGCTAATATTTTTCTTTGATACATTATTCAATTACCATAAATACACATACCGTAAATACGTATAAAGGCTTAAAGTTGTCGTTGTCAATGTATGTTGGACAAAAACATCTTGCGTGTCAATATATCCTTGTTTTTAAATGTTTCAGTTTTATTTTCGTTCAATTTGACAAATTGGTTAATTTTGACATTTTAGATACATGTAATAACTGCTGCAGCAATACATTTTCCATGGTTTATATGTCTTTATTATGATATGTTGATATAAGATATTGATATAATAAAAGATAAAATAGTGAATAATTTCAAGATTTCGCGACAATGCAAAATGTGTACGACTTGGATTTTGGTTCAGATTAAAAGCATGTTTATAATTTCATTTTTTATTTGCATTTGATATTTACAAATAACTGTTTTATCTAGTAGGCTATTCAGATATCATTTGGTTTTTGATCATTGAAAAAAAGTGAATTTTCTTATATAATAAGATCGTCGAATATAGAATGAATCAGTTTGCGTCAATACTGTATAAAATAATGCTGTAAACTTTAATATAACGATATTTTTGAGCGTATCACAATATTTTATTTTGATTCATTTTAAGTTGTTTTGTTTCGGTTTTCTTTTTGCATTTCAACTTTTAGTTATGACGCAGTGTTGTTGTCGATATTTTCATGATAGTTCCGCACACATTGCATTTATAGTAATTTATGTTCCACTGGTTTACGTACCATAGGCCTGAAGTACATACAAGAATTAGCTGACCAAGATCATTCAGAAGTCCGCATTGATTTAACAAAGACGACACAGGGTATGAGACGTATCAGGAGTTTAAGTTAACAGGTGGAATAGATTATATACTCAACATTGGGTCAGGTGACGCATCAGGTACAAAACGAATTTTAAACGGATGTTGATGGTTACAGAATGAAAGATAAAATGTACTAGATAAATATTTGATAAAATGTACTAAAACAAATATACTTTTGATATGAATATTTCATATTAGTTTTAATTGATATAAAAATTTAGTCCCTCAAATACGCTTTACTTTAGCAACACAAAGTCCAGAAATAAATCAATTGTCTTCTTACCTATTTTGTAATATTATATATACATATTTCTCTATGCATTGACCTTTATCTCAGGAATATTGAAACAAACAACGAGTAGAAACACATGTAAACAAAATAGGATTAACTTGCAAATGTTAAAATCAGTTTTAATGACTTTGTTAAATTTGGGATTCTTTCTATGTCAAACTATATGACTGATTAAAATCGTCAATATACTAAAACAGGCTAAATATGGCCTCTTGTAATGAAAATATTAATTACCCTTTTCAGACAATCTAGAAGCAGAACTAGCGTACAATAACAAAGCTCCTTTTTCAACTTTTGACCGTGACCTAGATAGCGCACCACCTCGTAGTTGTGCTGTTGATCGACACGGAGGCTGGTGGTATTACTCATGTACATTCATGAATATAAATGGATTATATGTCCGACCAGGTACAATATGTGAAGTTGCTGGGGCAGAAACCCGTCATTGTGGACACCTGCACGGAGGGTTTGAAAGTGGAGACATGTTAAGGAGATCTTCAATGATATTGAGAAGGACATAAATTGTGATCGAGACAATGGAAAGTTTATCTAAATTCAGACATATGAGTGACTTTGATTGATTTAAAATTAATTCTGAGAATCTTTCTATTGAAAAGTACAAATAATTGATAATAGCAAAATAATTAAGCATCACATTAATGGTCCATATTCAAAAGAGATACGGCTCAATTGGGCATTTCCTTACTTAATCATAAAATGATTTTTAGCAAATATCAACCAAACTTTTGAAACTTAAGATACAGAAAACTTGATAATTATTGCAGTGATAATTCACATTGTCAACTTATAATTTTGCAATATAATATTTCTGTAATTATTATTTCTTGCGTGCACGCGGCGTCTAGTAGATATGCATTCGTCTATTTAGTAATAAGGAAAGTTTTGGTCTTGCTTTTGTCTACTTTTTTGACAAAATCACACTGTTTGTAATTCTCTATTAAAAGTAGTTTTTCTGATGTACAACATGTCACCGAGCTTTAAGGAATAAAAATAAAATAAAATAAACGTTAAACAGAAGTGATAGTGCCATGTTTGAATATCATACTTTTTATTTTTATCTATTTTTTATTTGCCTAATAAATAACGTGTCAATGGGCCAGTCTAAATTCTAATGACGGGAACCAAATTGGAGAGGGATAAAGAGGTATGACTAAACGCAACATAGATTTTTTGGTGCAACAGGCGCAATGGATTTATTTTTTGCAAAAAAAAAACAGGCGCAACGTATGCTTATTCAAGAACATTATTAACATTTAAGTTATAAAACAGGTAGATTGATCGAAAAGTAAGTTTGTCCTAAAAATGTATCACAAATAATTGCAATAGGTTGTTTTGAAGGATTCTGTGACGCTTGTTCTCTGTTGCTTAGATTTTTTATTACATATAGTGGTTCTATACCTAAATTCTGCGTTAAGTGAATTGTAAACAAATGCAATCTCGTGTTTAATCAAATAGTTTAATCTTTTTTAAATAACTCATCAATACGTAACTAAAAATAATTATATCTAACCATTAATTCATTAACTTTCATTAATATGTAACTTAATTATTAAACAACGAGCACATACCAAGAACATGAAGAACATTTATTAGTGCTTCGAATATTTAACTGCAATAGAGAACAATTGTCAAGGCTGATTTTGTACAATACCCTTGAGTGATCATGACATTTTGCGGCGTCTTTGCTGTGCAACATTTACACTTAACTTGATAGTCAAACAGATTTGCACACGTTAACAAATTGACTGTCAATATATAACTTAACATAGTGCATTACAAGATATTTTTATAATGGATATGACGTGTGTTTGTGACTGGCCCCGTGTTCACAAAGATTTAAGGATCAGGATAAAGATCAGGATCAAATTTAAAAACTCAAATATTCTGCACTATTTATCCTCTTAGACTAAATATTCAGTATTACCTTGATAAAACTGGACTTGAAATATCATGTTTATGAATTTTTAGAATAAATTTGTTGTTACTTTTACAAGATATGGGCATTTTACAGTTGATCCAAATTTTGATCTTGATCCTAAAATTGATCATCATTTTGATCCGATTATTTTTGTATTTCTTTTGTTATTTGTTGATTTTATCCCAAAATAAGTTGGTTTCTTTGCAAAGAAGCAATTATTTATATTTCGAATTTGTGCCATTTAATTCTAGCATAATACGATCAGTTTTTATTTTATAAATCAATGAAAATAAAAACAGGATCATCTGATCCTTATTCTTATCTTTTCTTTGTGAAGGAGTTATACAAATTAATAAAGTTCTTTCGAGATGTTAAAAGAAAAATGGTGGTATGTTACAAAGAGGTCATTACACATACTGATTCTGTTGGACTTGTCCAGAGCAGTAAATAATGTTTTGTGATAGTCCAGTTTTGTACATTGAGGACAAAGATATCAATTTTATTGTAGAATAGTTTATAGTTCGATTTTTTAATATAAACAAGAAGGCCGGTATGCCTGAGTGATTAATTTAAACATAATTTCAACGATAATCACAAATAATATAATCAGAAATAAAATATGTATATGCGCTGGTTGGCCTTAACTCAGAGGTGGTCTTAAGAAGGGTTTCTACTGTAAATAAAAATATTTTATTAACTTTGAACTCTACTGAGATCCTACAGATACATGTTTAAGAATCTGAACTCGACACCACTTGGAGGCACATATCCTACATACTTTTATATAATTTTGTTATCTTACTCAATTGTAAATTGACTTGTTGACTGTTCTACAGTTTGTTCACGTGACACAATTACAGTCTTCGTTCTCCATTTACATATAATGTTCTTAATTCGTCCAAATAATAGCTAACAGTTAGATACGAGGGACGGTCAGAAAATATCCGGACTTTTCATGCTCCTCTCTTTCCACGTGCAGCTATATACACACATTATATATTGGTGAAAACTACATTTATTCGCCAATAACGTGGTCAGTTTGTTTTCAATGATAGTTGTGTATACACAGTATTTTGCCCTCTGATATATGATAGGTGTTTCGTCTATCATGGACTCATTGTTAGAGGAACAACGCTCTGTAATAAAGTTTCTGGTTGCAGAAGGTTAAAAGCCCTGCCACATATTTCAGAGGCTTAAAAAAGATTTTCTGATAAATGTGTATCACGTTCAACCTTCTACAACTGGGTTTCTCAGTTTCGTGAAGGCAGAACAAGTGTTTGTGACAGGCCTAGGACTGGGCGGCCAGCTGAGGCGGTGACCCCAACAATGGTAGCAAATGTTAAAGCTTTTGTCAACAAAAATCGTCGAGTAACTTTGGAGGAGGTAGCCAACAAGTTTAGCATCGGTAAGGCATCGGCACACAAGATTTTACACGAACACCTAGGCATGAGCAAGGTAAGTGCCAGGTGGGTGCCTAGACAGCTGTCCGCAGATCAAAAGGCAACCAGAGTAACCAATGCAAAAGAACATTTAAGTCGTTTTAATCGTGAAGGAGATACGTTTTTGTTTGTTTGTTTGTTTGTTTCATTTTACGCCTTTTCCCAACAGTATTTCAGTCATATAGGCGGGTAGTTTCCTAACCATCGTTCCTGGAGAGTTACACTAGTACTAGACTACCTTTCTCCGCGCTAAACTACCAAAGCATCTCCCGGGGATCGAACCCACGCCAGAGAGGTAACTGGATTAGAAGTCATCAACTCTAACCCCTCGACCACGGAGGCGGTACGATAAGTTTTTGAACCGCATTATCACTGGAGATGAGATGTGGGTTCATTATTCCGAACCTGAGACAAAAGCTCAGTCAAAGCAGTGGAAACAAGCTGGTTCCCCACCTCCTAAAAAGTTTAAACTGTCTCCTTTGGCTGGCAAAGTCATGCTTGTTGCCTTTTGGGATTCACGAGGAATGATACTTACTCATTTCATGCCAAAAGGTCAAACTGTCACCGCCAAGTACTATTCTGAAGTAATTCTGAAAAATCTCAGAGAAAAGCTGAAGCAAATGCGTCCCAGGTTAGCACAGGAAAATGTCCTCCTTCTTAACGATAACGCCCCCTCCCATACCGCCGCAGCTACAGTGGAGGTTATCAACTCTTACAAATAGCAATTGTTGTCTCACCCTCCTTATAGCCCAGACCTCGCGAGAATACAAAAGCTCCCACGAAGATGGCAAAAGTGCGTAGACAGAGTATATTCTGAAAAAGAGTAGAAAGATTTTTTTTAAATGTTGAATGGTTTTCGAGAACGAGTCAAAAGTCCGGATATTTTCTGACTTCCCCTCGTATATATATATAACTCATTAGAAAGATGTTGATTAAGCAGATGTGTCTTTTGTATTGGAAATTTTATTTGTATTTGCTTCTAAGTATTGCATGGACAACATTAGAGGCCTGCATTTATTAATTTATTGCTGACTTAAATATTTTGCTCATAACTTAAAACATAGTGATTTAATTCTTTGTTGAACTTATGATATGAGTTTTTTAATCAACATCATAATGGTAAGTTTATGAACATGGAGAGGTCAATATATATCGGTTGATTCGAGCAGTTTATTAAAGAACAACATGTAAATCATTTGTGCCATGAACTAGTTAAAAATCAGTTTGCTGCCATTCCATGGCACATCAAACATGTATCACAATTATTGACAACTTTTAAGACTGAAAGTTATGTACGTTTTATTACCTAAAATAACAAAATAAAATGAATCAGAAAAAAATAATCAATTCTTTATCACAGTCTTTACTATATTTGTAATTAATCAAATCACAGTAGAATATTAACAATTATACAAGAAGCAGTAACAGACAGCAAAATCGTACGCCGAAAACGGGGAAATACATTTTAAAGGGGACATAACCCTTACATGCATGTCAAAATTCAAGTTATAAGTATGACAGCCACTCACCCGTGAAATTTAATAAAACGTTATAAGTTAAAGCTTAGACAAAAAAACATGAAAGTTTAATTGACAAAGAAACATTAAGTGAACACTTCTAGTTCTAATGTTCTGACATTCACCTCTATTTGACATGTTCGGTTTATATCTCGTTAACCTTTAGAATTATGGTCCTTGCAAACTAATCATAACAATAATTACCTTACACCGCCAGATGTTGTATACCTTTTCCCACACTGGTCGCAAACAAACATCATTTCTGAAAAACAAAACGTTATTATATTCTTAGAATATATCATAAGTTTGTTTCTTATTTTGGAGATTCGAATTGACAATTAAAAACACGTTACCAGCTTTAAAGAACTTTATTGTGTTACTGTCATCAACTGAAATATTGAAATTAATGACACTCTTCTTTTTTTCCATTTAAAGTAATTTCCAACATTGAAACTCATAGATTTTACCTTTTATAGTGTTAAACATCATGTTTTTCTTAATGACAATGGCACACTTCAATTGATAATCCACGTGTCGCGATAATTTTCATCCAGACCCAATGACCCCAGTCAATTATGCGCCAAATCTATTTATAACCATACTTAGTTACAATATTACTAGGTTAT